ATCAACATCATCAGGCCAGGACTCTGAGGTCTACACTCATCTCCAGGTCAGAGGTCACTCTTTCAGGGATGAAGATGTGCACATCCTGGACAGAGAGGAACGATGGTTTGAGAGAGGAGTAAAGGAGGCCATCTTTGTGAAAAGAAACCGTCCATCATTAAACAGGGGTGGAGCCTCCAGGTTCAACTGTCCCCCTCTTACAATGCTGTGATTGCTAGTATCACTCAGCCCTCTGTGAACAGTAAACAGCCATCAGGTGCTAATGACCCATTGTTAGGCTGATGGTCCTTCTTGAGCATGTGATCAGCTGGTTCTGGTTGTCAGCAGCAAAACTGGTTGATCCACTCTGAGAAGGTGCTATTTAAGAGACTGAGCTGAAAACAGCACCTCAGACTGAGGAAGTCCTCAGGATGAGAGACGAAACCTTTCTACATTTTTTTGTTGATTTGCTTTGTTTTGTTTTTTTGAATGTCCAGAGGACCAGATTTAACTTTTTTAGATTTTTCTACCTGGATTATTGAGCATGCATCAGGATATTACATTATGTAATACATACAGCAAGTACTTTTACTTTTAATACTTTAAGTATTTTAAAAGCAAGTACTTATTTACTTTTACTTAAGTAAAAATGTTAATGTGGTACTTCTACTTTTACTAGAGTACATTTTGTCTGTCTGTCTGTACTTTTACTTAAGTACAGAGTTTGAGTATTTCCTCCACCACTGGTTTACAGACAGTTCTCTCCAACGTTCTTGTGCAGATGTAGAAGAATGGCTGCCACGTCAGCAACTTATTTTTATGAAATGAGAAGTTTTCCTTTATTCTTCTGGCACTTTGAGCTTCTGCCTGAAACTTGGGTTCCAACAACCTCCTGGCGTCATGACAGACATGAGCTGAGCTGGTCTGACTTTAGACACCAGCAGTAAGAGCTCAAGCACAAGAGAGCTTTGCTCCATTACTTTCGTTAAGTATTCGGTGAATTAATTTGTCACAACCTGCGCTGACGACTGTAACGCACCTCATGTTGGCTGCTTCGCCTCCAGCTTGTCCAAAACGCTGCAGCTCCTCTCTGAACTGGAACATCTGAGCACTTGTCTGCACCAAAATACATTTTTCATTTCTTACGTTGACTTTTTAATGTCTGCGCGGTCTTTCAGCCTCGTATCTGTGCAGCTTGGACCTTCAGGTTCTTTGTGGCACCGAGATCATCTGATGAGCTGCTTCTGGTCGGCCGCGTCTTAAATACCTTTTTTTAATCATATTTGTTCTCGCTGATATTGAACTCAGTGTGAGTTGAGCCTCATGAATGAAGTGCAGTGACTTCCTGTGATAAATCAGAGTGAGTGAGTGGAGGACCTGAGGGGGTCCTGAAGGGGTCGTCTGTGATCTGCTCCAGTCGGCCCAGCAGAGCCTCGATGTTGGTTTTGATCTGAGTCAGCTCGGACTTGATGGCCTCAAGTTCAGAACTTCTTCCTGCTGCTGAAGAGACGAAAAGACGGAGAGGAGACGGAGAGGGGATCAGCACTCAGGGGAACGTGTCTCAGATGGTAAATCGTGATAAATATTACTGGTTAAAGGCTGAACGACAGGGAAAACAAAATATATATTTTTACAACTGTAATAAAGAATTGGAATGCAAATATAATTAGCAGATAATAAGAAATATTTCAGACTAAGAATTATTATCAGATATTTTTATTTATTCCTGTTAAATCTCATTTAACTTTAAAATCAGTGAGAAAGTCTAAAAGTTTTAAAACATCTGATCCCAGGTCTGCTCTGAATGCTCTCGTGGTTCAAGAAGTCTTTCAGGAGAGGATTCACAGACCAACAGGGTTTCCTTTAAACCTCGTGTGCACGTGGCCTCACAGCACGGAGAAGCTCTGCGGTCAGCTGGCGCTGTCGGTGTGACGCATGAATAAAGTTTGACGGGACTCAGACGGGTCGACTCACTTCAGGATTTTTATCCTGTGCTTCTTAAACACATTTTATTTCATCCATGGTTTTTATTCAGCGCCATGAGACTGCTGCTCTGGACTTCACAAGTGATCTCTGATTTATTCTTCTACTTCAGTTCAAATCATTTACAAAAGGTTTTATAAATGAACTTTAATTCCATGATAACACCCAGTTTTTCAAGAAAAGTCAAACCTGAAGAAGAAGATCAAAGTACGAGTTCGGTGCTAAACAATCCAGTCCTTTTATGTTCACGTGTATTTAGTGAAAAACTATAAAGAGTTGATCGCTCAGAGATAAACACTTCTTCTTCTTCTTTCAGATTTTCCCTCTTCAGGGGCTCCACAGAGAGTCCTCCTCCATCTCACTCTGTCCTCACTCTGTCCTCTGTCCCACTCTGTCCTCACTCTGTCCTCTGTCCTCACTCTGTCCTCACTCTGTCCTCTGTCCCACTCTGTCCTCACTCCAACTACCTCCATGTCCTCTCTAACTGCATCCATGTCTCCTCTTTGTCTTTTTCCTGCAGCTGACATGTCCAAACCACTGTCCCCCCTCTGGACATGTCCAAACCACTGTCCCTCCTCTGGACATGTCCAAACCACTGTCCCTCCTCTGGACATGTCCAAACCATCTCAGTGTGTCCTCTCTAACTTTATCTCCCAGGTGTTCAACCTGTGCTGTACCTCTGATGATCTCATTCCTGATCTTCTCCATCCTTGTCTCTCCTAAGGAGAACCTCAACATCTTCATTTCTACTTCCAGGTCTGTCTCCTGTCTTTTTGTCCTTGTCTCTGTCTCCAGACCAAGCTGCTCTCACCACTGTCTTGTAAATCGTTTTGACGTGATAGTTTTAAAAAACGTAACAAAAGGAAGACCTAAGAATTCTTGTTTATTGACAAGTCACCACATGGAGACAAAACGAAAAGACTAAAACAATCAACTGTAACGATCGGCTATTATACAGAAGAACAAAAATATGTTTACAGCTACATTATTTGGAAAAATATAGAACAAGGTTATTTTAATTTAGACATAAAAGAAAGTTGTGCAAAATTAACCTGAGTCACACAGTGGCACTGGAACAGGGGGGCCAGGGGGGGCATTGGCTCCCCAATTACGGCCCTGCCATCAGCTGGTCCCAGACGTTTACACAGGCTGCACCCAACAAGCTGACGGCTGTGCGTGCGTGTGCGTGTGTGCGTGTGTGTGCGTGTGTGTGCGTGTGTGCGTGTGCGTGTGTGCGTGTGTGTGCGTGTGTGTGTGTAAATACAGACAGAGGCAAAACTGTAGCATTCAGATCTGGGTCCAATCTGTAACAAGTCTTCAGAGCCGCGTCACCGTCATCGGACGTGCACACACATGCACCAGCTCTGGGTCGGGCTGGGATCATGACACCTGCAAAAAATGTCTTGGCTCTGATCCCGATCCGGTCCGGTTCTGGACCAAATCAGCCTAAAAATGAAATCAGATTCTTATATTTGTGCCACATCTGGCCCAGTAGCAGTATTTGTAGCACCTGGGGGCCACCTCTGACTCTGACCCAGATCCACATGTGGGTAAACAGCTGGATCCAAGGACACCTCCTGACCTCTGTGACCTCTGCGGAGCTGAGAGGAGTGGCTTTCTCTGTGACTGCTCCTCCTGCGTATCTATCCATGTACTGATTTATATTTATTTATGTAACTTTTCTGAAATTTGACCTTACAAGTTTAAATCAGAATCATCTCGTGCCCTTGAGTTGTTTTACATCACCAACATTAGTGAGAGATTTTCTCCAACAATCCGACCTCGTTGAAACGATTTGATTTAACGGCCTGACGTTTTACATCAGACGTGGTGCTTCACTTTGTAGTTGGAGGAGAAAAAATAAATCCCTAACTCTTCTTTCATATAAAAACCAGGTAACTTGTGTCATGAAAATATGTCGGGTTACATCTTTATGATGGTTTTTAAAGTGCAGCTTCTTCAAACACATCAAGAACAAGAGAGAGCTGCTCCTCCAGGATCCCTGCGGCAGCAAACGCAGCGTTTCTCAAGAAAACCAAAGACAACGCACGGCAGCCGGAGAGGTCAAAGCCAAATGTGCAAGGTCAGCATCTTTCCTCTCATCCACGAGGCGAACAGGATTTGAACTGAATGTTTCATGAGCGAAACGCAGAGTTGAAGTGACACCAGACTCCGCCATGTTTGAACTCCTCGTCGACGAGACAACACAGGAAGAGGACGAGGGTCAGAAGGTCCAAACGCACACACAAACTCCCAGCACAGCAAAAATGAACGGAAGGAGAAATAAAGCTGAAATATAATGAAGCAAACAGCAGATACACAGAGTCAATAGCGAGACTTTATAAATGTGTATTTGTACTGTAGTATTTATTCTGGATGTCCCGCTAACACTCCATCAGTCCTGCAAACATCTGTAAAGAGCAACAAGGTTTACTTGACCCCAGATGAAAAATCAGTATAAAGTGTGAGTATTTAAACACGTTAATGATGATCGATGCTGCATCATGGAGACTTTGATTCAAATCAAATAGAAACAAGTATGAAAGCAAACACTAAGTTATCTCAGATAAATCACGTTATTAACTGACGTTTTGTGTCCGTGAATGTTTCTGTTCAGAGACGACTTGACTTGGAGCTGCAGAAATAATCTGAGGTGAACTGAAGCGCTTCTCTTTTCTTAAGACATGAACCAAACACTTTCTATCCATCATCTTTACCCGTTTATTCCATTTTGGGTCACGGGGGTCGCTGGTGCCCATGTCCAGCAATCACTGTGCGAGGGGCGGGGGACACCCTGGACAGGTCTCCAGTCCATCACAGGGACACATAGAGACAAACGAGACAAACAACCATTCACTCTCTCACCTAGGGACAATTCAGAGTTACCATCAGCCTAACATGCATGTTTTTGGTCTGTGGGAGGAAACCGGAGCACCCGGAGAAAACCCACGCATGCACGGAGAGAACATGCAAACTCCACCCAGAAAGGCCCCTGGACCGGGATTTGAACCAGGGACCTGCTCGCTGAGAGGCAGCAGCTCTACCAGTTGCGCCACCATGCTGCCTAAACACTTTCTATAAAAGTTCAATTTAATTTTTTGTCTTAAAACGTCAAAATACTGAAAAGGACGTTTTTATATCAGATTTTAACAAATGAGTTGTTAACGTTAGTTTTTATTTACACTGAGCAAAAGTTTAAATGCAACTTTTATTCACGAGCTGAACTCAAAGCTGTCAGACACAAAATCTGTTTGTCGGTGAGTAAATGTGTTAGTGACATCATCACCTGACACGTGTGGCACATCAACATGCTGACCTCACACTAATGAAGCTGCTTCACGCATTAAACATGAAAATAAACCTACATCTCTTTGTAGTGCCGTTGGAGGCGTGACAAGCCAGAACTTGGACCGGCAGAGGTTTGACCCGTCGTACCAGAGGAACCCGCGGGCGTTTGACCGGAACCACCCGAGGGACCGGAGACACCCTGCCCCGAAGCTCAAACAACCTGGGGGGGGCAGAGGAGGAACCAGACTGTGAGAAGACAGTTGTCAGCGAGCAGAGCTGGATTTAATTCACGTTAGGCTGAACAACAAACGCAGGAGGTGGTTAATCTTCTGCAGACGATCAGTAAAAGATTAAAACAAGAAATGTTCAAAGCCTCCTGCCTCCACACACCATCCACACTTACCTGTCGTAGAAGTCTTCTCTGTGGTAATCGTAGTCAAACTCGTAGCCACTGCAGGAGAAACACTACATGAACACTAGATCTGAGGGACTTCATGAAAACAAAAGAACTACAGTGGTTTTATATGTATTTCAAATAACACAGGAGAACAACATATCTGGGGCTTCTCATCAGTTTACAAATAAGAACAAATAACTTTGATCATTTCTGGTGCAAATAATAATTCATCTTGCTGTGATTTAGATCCAGCAGGATGCAGCTGGAGAACAAAGTGCATTCCAGGGATAAATACCCAAATGAATAAAGCAAACATGACTTCTATTACTCCTAAAATATAAAAAACGAACAATGTGCTCAAATTTAATCAAAGGGTATGAGAGGAACATGGCTGTGGACACGTGAGCTGCGTTTCGGCTGAGCTCCAGTCGGCCCCGCTGAAAACCTGCTTTTTATGACGGTCTCCTCGCTGCCTGGTGTCGCCTCGTAGCTCAATCAACAGACTGGGAACATGACCTGAAAGTCCAAATCTTCAGTCGCTGCTCCCCCACGGCCCACTGTCACTGCTTCAGCCTTGAGCCATCGTGATGGAGGGGCAGGTGGATCTGCAGGTGCGTCGGCCCCACCTTCACCGAGCTCTGGAGGGACGGACGTGTCGGCTCTGAGGTCCTGGCCTCAATTAAAACCCAAGTTATAGCGATGGTTAAGATGGAACTAAGAGCAGCTCTGACGGAGAGTTTTAACTTCATCAAGAGTGAACTGCAGGTGGAGCTAACACCACTGCAGGCCTCAGGGCGGAGCTCGACTTGTTGCATCAGAGACTGGAAATGGGCTTTCTTTACGCTCGGAGGAGATGGAGAGGCTGCGTGGGACGGTGG